TGCAATATTTTTCTGACACTAACACCTCTCTCTGGCCCTCGGAAAGGGCCATGGAGGAGCCAGGCCCAGCTAAACACCACCCACGCCCAGCCCTCCTCCTCCTCGCCTCCTGGCGCCAGACTGGAGAGTCCTACAGCTGTACAGGCGACAAAAGAAAGGAATGGGAAGGTGAGAGGGGAGGGAGAGGAAGGAGTAGAGGAGAGAGGGAAGGGAGAAGGGCTGAAGAGGCCCAGCTGGGCCGTTATGGTTTCTGTTCAAAGGGAAGTGTCAGTAGGCATCAAGGTGAGAGGAGGCTTAGCTAAAGGACCTTGGAGGTTGAATTCTGCAGTTACTCCTTCCACGTTATTCCAGGAAAACAGGTGGAACCAATGCTTTTGCCTGGTGGAGACATGGAGGTGAGGAGGTCCCTGCTCTCAAGGCTTTCCCGTCAACAGGGGGCTCCTATGAGGATGCTGAGAGCTCCTATGAGGATGCTGAGAGCTCAGACGCAGGAAGAAGGCGGGTCCTGAGAGGTGACCCAAACAAGAGGTGCTGAGGAGGGAGTTGTCCGATGTCATCACAGAGAGGGAGGTGGGAGTGAGCCTTGAAGGATGCAGGAGTTGGGCAAGATGGCTTCTCACAGAGGGGACAGAGAAACCAAGGCAGGCAACACAGTCCTCCTCACTTTTCCTTCTCACCTGGTAGGTGAGAAGAAGGGATAAAGGTAGGGTGGGAGGAGAAGAGAAGGTGAGAAAAGAGAGCAGAGGAGAGGAGGGGGGGAAGGCAGGGCAGAGGAGAGCGAATTGTCAGTGCACGGCCTGTGAAATAACATGTTTACCCCCTAACATCTTTAAATTCCCACCTGCATTAAAATCCAACGTATACCCTAATATCTGGGCTGCATTTCTGCAACTTTGCTTCCCCAGATCCCAGTATCACCAAGGCCAACAGGCGGCTCCTCCTCCCCTCCCCGTCTCCCTGCCTTCAAGGGGAAAATCCTGGAAAGGACTTGGAGCCCCTGTGAGGCCCACCAGATGATACTGTTTTAATTTCCTCAAGGCCCACGGTGGCTCGGGTCTCCCTCCCTGTCCCCATCTCTGCCCACCCTCTTCTTTCCCATCAACCTTCCAGCCTCGCCCCTTCCTCTCCCTCTCCTGTTACACTCTCCAGAGAGGAGGATCAAGAAGAAGCAAAATCCTGGGGAAACAGATCAAATCTGGCTGGAATTTCCCCAAGTCAGAGCCCACCATTTTCCTCTTAGAAATAAAAGGGAAGGAAAAAAATCAAACCAGAGTTTTAGGTGGCTGGTGGCATCTCAACACTAGTCTTTCTGGGTTCCCATGCCCCCTGCCCCACCCTGTACCTGGCATCCAGGAATGAAGAGAGGGGGAGATCCAGATAATTTAGAAATCAGATTTAGAATGTATTTGTTTTGCCACCTTTAGATTTCAAGAACCACTGTGTTCATTCGTTTGTTCATTCATTCATTCATTCAGTAAATACTTAGTGAGCACTTACTACATGCCAGGCTGGAAGACATCAGTGAACAAAACAGAGATGCTGCCCTGTCCCATGAGGAACAGATAGTACACGATAAACATAGTTAATAAGAAAATGACGTATGTGTTAGAAGGACATGGGACTAAAAGAAAAAGGGAAAAGTGGGGCAGGGAAAGAGGGTCAGGAGTGCAAGGGAGACAGAAAGGCCTACTGGGGTAGATAAGATTTGAGCAAAGACTGGAAGAGGGTGAGAGAGTGAGCCGCGGTGGGGGCGGGGCATGGCAGAGGGCCCCGGTGAGCATGCCAGCAGGTTCCACGTGAAGACCGGAGGCCAGCTTGGTCAGGTCAGTGCCTGGGTGTTTACACTCCCTTTGCTGGGCTTTACTCAGGGTGGCACTGTGTCCCAACTTAGGTTTTAAAAGGACCACACCCCAAAGGCAATGACCAAATCTGTTTCTACACACAGAATTTTAGACTGGACAGGACCTTAGACCCACCTGTTCAGCCCCCATTTGGCCAATGAAGAGGCCGAGACCCAGAGGGAGGATGGGCTCTGGTCAGGCCACATGCCCTGGGAGGGGTGAGTCAGCCTTGATCCCACATCTTCCAGCCTCTATTGCCTGCCAGGCCTCAGGTGACTCCCTTGCTAGCATTGCTCTAAATCTGCCCTCTGATCAGGTCTCCCCCCAGTTGGGGGCTTGGAAAGCACAATGGCTGGGTTACTGTTATTTTTCAGTCCTTCTGGCCCAAATGGCCTTTTTCTTCTTCTTCTTCTTCTTCTTAATTTGGGGTTCAGAAAAAGGGAGAGTAAGATGAGGTAAGAGGAAGAGGGCACAATGACACCTCCCACCTCAGGGCACTCCCACCCCGGTGACCCCCACTCTGCCATTCTTCCACTGACACCCAGGCTGGCCCTGGTGGTCCTCCAATCACCCTCACTGTGCTGGACTCCAGTTTTTTCTTGCCAGACAAGGCCTCCCCACTGATAGGCTGGTTGGGAGGGGGCTGGATCAAGGATACCAAAGCCAGTTTGGCCTTTGGTGTTTGTGATGGGGAAGTGCTAAGCCCTGGCAGTCCACCCAGGTCCCCAGGTCCTTCCTCTCTTCCCAGGTGGCATTAACCTGAAAGAAACAGTGACCTGGGGCAACTCAGCTTGTCGTATCTTTCCCTACCTGCCTCTTCTCTTAAAAAAATCACAGTCAGTCTTTAAGGTCTTTTTCAGAAAGCCTTCTCCCTGCTTGACTTCAATAATCACGGGCCGGCCGAGTGGCGCGATGGTTAAGAACTGGCTTGGGATGCCAGTGGGCCCCGGTTTGGATCCCACATATGAGGACCAGTGACACTGCCCTCTACAGTTAAGATGCTGAATAACAGCTCAACCTGGAGCTGGGCTGCTGTGAGTCGCCAGCTCCAGCATAGGCTGCGGCCCCTGTAGCAGTGGGTTGCCATGGGCTACCGTATGTAGCCAGCAGACAGCGTGAGCGGCCAGCAGCCACAGTGAGCGGCCGTCCAGAATCCGGCGACTGATCTGCCTCGCCCGGGAAGAGCGCAATGATGGTGCCAACTTGGGCCAGTGAAGCAACGTCCTCCACAACTAGACTGAAGAACAAANGTGAGCGGCCAGCAGCCACAGTGAGCGGCCGTCCAGAAGCCAGCGAGTGATCTGCCTCACCCGGGAAGAGCGCAATGATGGTGCCAACTTGGGCCAGTGAAGCAACGTCCTCCACAACTAGACTGAAGAACAAACGACAGCAACTTGTCTGTTCCCCATCCCCCAATTCCCCAGCACTGTTCCCATCCCCCCAATTCCCCAATTAAAAAGAAATAATAATAATCACACATACTTCCGCCTACTTTATATGATGGGTAATTGTCCCCACGCCAGTCCATTCCACTGGATCATAAGCCCTTCGAAGGCAAGGATGGTTTAATTTCTCTTTGGAACATCCCTGGCACCTAACCCATAGCTTCACACAGCATGGGTCCTCTAAATATGTTTGTTGACTGGAATCCAGAGAAAGAGCTATAATGGCAGGCATTTTACTAGGATGGGTGAAGAGCTGTTTATCATTCACAAGCCCAGAGCTCCTTGTCTCTTCTCCCTGCTGAGACATCCCCAATCCCTGCTTTTCTAAGCCAGCCAGCTTCCCTTCCTACACTCAGCACTTTGTGGGAAGGAAAAAAAGGGTTGGAGAGTGAGGAGGAGTCATTTCTCATTTTGAGTAATTTCAAAACAGAGGCAGCTAGCAGAGTGGAGCACAACAAAACTTGATGCTTGAGAAAAAATGCTTGAAAAAGGGCTGAGTGATGGTTAATTTTATGTGTTAATTGTGCCGACAGAGATTAAACATTTCTGGGTGTGGTTGGAGGGTGTTTCCTGATGAGATTAGCGTTTGAATTGGTGGACTCAATAAAGCAGAGTCCAATGTGGGTGGGCCTCATCCAATCAGCTGAGGGCCTGTATAGAACAAAAGGTAGAAATGTTCGGTTTTTGCTTCCTGCCTGGCTGCTTGAGTTGGGACATCTCATCTCCAGCCCTCAAACTGCTATCTACACCATTGTCTCCTCTGGTTCTCGGGCCGTCTGCCTGGGACTGAGTTACACCCCCTGCTCTCCTGGGTCTTCAGTGTGCTGATTGTGGGACTTCTCAGCCTCCACAATCACGTGAGTCAGTTCTGCATAATACATCTCTTTATATATGTATGTAGATAGCATACCAGTTCTGTTTGTCTGGAGAACCCTGACTAACATAGACTATCTCTACCTCACTGACTGTAAGTCTTTACAAGACTCTTCTATGAGCGTCATTCTATGCATCTTTGAGATGGGGATGACGCTTTCCTCTCTTACACTCAGAGCAAAGAGGAGTGTATGCATTCATGCAGCAAGCATTTACTAAGTACCTACTAAGTGTCGAGCTCTGTGCTGGAGACACAGGAGGCAGGCTGTTGACAAAAGGCTTTAGGCTTTCTTGGAGGAAGCTGCATCAGTTGAATCTCGAGAGTTTTAGCAAATACCTAGCCCTCAAAGATGCAGTGCCATCTGGGTCACTGGGATGGGGAACCCCTTCCTGTGACATGTCCTGGGGCCTCAGACTCAGGGGCAGGATGAGTATCTGGAGAGGTAACTTTTCTCCTCACGATTGCTTCTGGAAATGGATTGGAGGCTCCTCACCTGAGGGCCTGGGCTAATTGGTTCAGATGCCCTTGCCTGACCCCAGCCTCACTCACTCAGAGGAGAGAGGAAAAAGGAGTCAGGAGACTCAGTGCTGGAAGGCCCCTCTGAACTGAATTATCCTTAGTGCTTTTTCTCACTAGATCATCTATAAAACGTGCGCTCATCTTGCTGACCACACAGGTTTGTTGAGATGCATGAACAAGAAAACACATGGAAAAGGCCTTTCAAAGCATGACGTTTGGTATATGCGGTATTAGGGAGGAGGTCACCAGCACCCTGGAACAATGCCAAGGTTGGGTGTGGGGCGCAGGGCAGATCCCCAGACTGAGCCAAGGGGTACTCACCATCCTCGCACAGGTTCAGCTTGGACAGGCTCCTGCCGTCAAAGGGCTCCTCAAAGATGGAACCGGTGTCGCGGTCGCTCACGGTGTGCAGGTACATGGCTTTATTCTCCATCCTGTCCTGCAGCAGCAGCAGGAGAGACAGCAGGAGGATGGGAGAGGGAGGAAGGAGGCGGGGGAGGGAGAGAGAGAGAGAGAGAGAGAGAGAGAGAGAGAGAGAGAGAGAGAGAATAAGCTGTAGGTGGAAATGGAAATGAACGGATAGAGCAAGGCGCCCACCCTGCGACCCTAAACCTGAACACTGGGACTGCGTCCTCATCAACAGGTGACATCTATTGAGTCCTTAGGACCCCGTTTCCACATCTCCAACTTCCTCAGTGCTTGGGAAAGCCAAGGACCTCTGGACCTTTCTGATGGTGGGATCTGTCCTCTTCCTTTCAACAGCTCTCGATGGGGCTGGAGCCCTGAGCTGAGGGGGCACTGAGGGCCAGGCTGCCTGGGGCCTGGAGGAGCCGACTCTCCTGACCCAAAGAAAGCAGTTTCTGTGCCTCTAGAGCCCTGGACACATCAGACAGACTTGGGCTACTCTGTGTCGGGAACGAGGGAAACTAGACACAAAGGTGGGTATGGAAACCACCAGCCAACACAGCTACGAACAGAAGGGCTCCCAACACAGCGGGGCTGGCATGGTCAGAAGAGCTGGGCTCAGTGGGACCATAGCAGGAATTATTTCCCATAGGAGTCTGGTGAGCAGGCGGCCTTGTTGGGCTCCCCCAGACGCTAAGACCTGTGCAGCCTTAGACCCAGGGCGGGTCCCGGTGCCTGGATGGCCTTCTGAGGCCAGATCCCAGGGGCTTGGGTTCCTACCCACAGTGTCCCAGGAACATACCCAGTGACTGGGGGAAGTGCTCTGCTATTTGACCTGAACCAGCCCCATTTATACGAGTGTATATGATGCCATCCCCTTTTTTAATATACACACGTGTCCTGTGTGTATATTAAAAGGAAAGACTGTGTGTGGGGATGTCCCAGTTGTACCAGTGAGACGTGTGTGACAGGACTCTGGTGGGAACTGTGCCTTTGTTTGTTTGCTGGATTTTCTACGGTGTGTTTGCATTCTTTGTGCAATGAGAAAAATCCATTTTCAAGCCAAATCACAAAGTTATTTATTTACATAAAATACTTGATATTCTTGTTTTCACATATATGCTCAGTGATTTTATAAATTACTCTTCACTTTCAGCTGGTTCCAGCCATTCGTTAGCTTGGTCTTTGGTTCTGATGCTCTTTGACTATCTGGACATGGAATCCAAAAAAAAAAAAAATCCACTTTTCAAAAGTGAATTCTTTTGAAGATAAAAGTCCCTGGAAGGGTGGATGGCTCCCAGGCCCAGCATGGAACAAGTTCAAGTCTGAGGCCCAGAGTGCCAGCCAGGGGTCTACCGCCTGGGAGGAGGTGACAGGGGCCTGGCAGGTGGCAGTGGATAGACAGTGTCTGCTGATTGAAGGGAGCATCCAGTCAGTTCTTTAGAGACAGGGTGGGAAAGGTGGTGTCAGCTCAGTTTCAATAAATAGGGATAATGAAGGAGGAAGCTGGCCGAACGGCTCTGCCTGTTTTCATCTCCTATTTTCATCTCCTATTTTCACGACTTGGCCTTCGTCTCCAGAGACCTCTGACTTCAGGGATGAGAGGAGGCTGTAAATGACCAGTTGCCATACAACTGTCAATCCACTGGCCCAGGAGGGATGGATAGGGGCTTCTGCTCTTGTCTTTTCAAGTAATAAGATGCCACATTCCCCTGCACATGCATTCAAGCATGCACACACACATGCACACCCACACATGCACAGTCAGGGTGTTCCCAGTCTCTGTGGGTCTTTCTTCCAGCCTATGGGAGGGAGGGATAGAGGGGAGCCCAAGCTCTGTCAGGCTCTCTCCTCCCTGCCCCAGGGGCTCCCGGAGCCCCAAGACAGCTCTCACCCCAGCTTCTCCATGTTGCGGTTATGTCGTTTGCTATTCTCCCAATACCCGCCCTCTATCCAAGTCCTCCACCCAGTGAGGGCCTCTAGGTGGGGCTGTGAGTAGCTCCACTGCTGCAGGGGACCCTCCCCTGTTTCATAGCACTGTGTGCAGCACCCCTCCCCCTGGCCTCCTTTGGAGTCTGGGGAGCTGCAAATCAGGAGGCCAGTGTCTTCTGCATGTGATAACCCTCTCTTTGCCAAAAGCAGCAGGCCCTGCTGCCCAGAGGTCGCGCAGAGCCCGGAGCTGTCATGCCGGGAGTGGAGGTGTGGAGATGGGCTTGGGCCAGCTTAGCCCCATCTTCATTTCCATCTTCCCCTTTTGCTGATCAGCTCCTGGACCAAAGCTGGAATTCAGGGCTTGTTATATGGAATGTGTCTATAGGGTGGCCCTGACTCTGCTCCCTCCCCACCCCTCAGCTGGTGGAGCAGGAGCCCTGGGGAGCTTGCTGTGGAGAGGGGCTGGCCGAGCAGTAGGCCAGATGTGAGTGAGATGAGATTGGAAATGTTCAGTCAGCTCGACTAATGTTTGCTACTTGGGAATGAAACCTAAGAATGTTCTGTCTGCCCCAGGTTTTATTTTGGGTGGATTTTCTTTCTTGGGGAAGGGGGGAGCGGGGCCGGAATTTAGACCCTTTAATCATTTAGTCTCATAACCTTTGGGCCAAGTTTGTGCTCTCAGGCAAGGTGTGATGAGCCTCATGTGTGTGCCTACCGCCCACGAGTTACAGACATTTGCCATCCAGGATCTCTCTGCCCTCCCCAAGAGCACTGTGAGGGGGGCAGCTGGTGTTGGCCTGTCATTCCCATTTTAAAGATAAGCCAACCAAGGCTCAAAGAGGCAAGAACCAATGGATGTCAGAGAGGGGTGAGTTGTAGGCAAAGGCTTCACACCCAGGACACTGGCTCAGCCACGAGGTTGCTTTGTCCAGGAAGGTGTCTCAGTTCCTTTCCGTGACCACCTTTATGTTCAAAGATGAGTCAGTGAAGAGGGCCAGGTGGGGGCTCTGTGGCCAAGGAGAAGCTCTGAGAGCTGCTAGGAAGAGGACCAGTGCCCTGGGAACATGGGCAGGGTGTGGACACCATAGCGCCCTGTGGATGAAGCCCAAGGAGCCTGGACTTCTATGCTTCAAGTCAAAGCATAGGGCCTTCCTTCCCCAGGGAGAGGACACTTTACTGACCTCTTAGGGTGTCTTGATGCACTTTAGAGCTGAAGCACTCAGCCATCCATAGCTCCACCCCAGGCAGCTCTGTGCAAGCCTGTGGGGTGTGGGGAGCTCAGCGGACACGGGATCCTATCTTGGCTCCACTTCTTATTATTCAGGAACTTGGCCCAATCAGCTAAGCTCGTGCAGCCGCAGGTCATCATTTCTATGATGAGGATATGCACATCTGCCAGCCACTCGGTTATCGAGAGCCTCATGTGGGGCAGTGCACGTGGAAAGACTTTACAAACAAGGGCACACAGGAGTTGGTGGCAGAGTCTGGTGATAACCAACAGCTCCCCGGCATCTTCTGATCCTGCCAAGCAGCCAGGGTTGGAGGGGTCTGCAGATTCTTGAGGCCTCTTTCCCGCCTTACCAGTCCCAGAAACAATGATGTTTGGGGTTCCCTTTGCAAAAGGTAATCATGAATGCAGACCAGAGGTGAAGTCCAAACCCTGACCCTCAAAGTCCCTCTCTGGGCAGCAGAAGGACTCAATTCTTTCTGCAAGGGGGTTGGCATGAGCCTTGCTTGTTGCTGCAAAGACGGTGTCTCTGGATTCCAGCATCTAACTCTGCAGGGCTCGTAGCTTTTCTTTGGATCGCCTAGCTTTAAGCTCATCAAAAGCAAGTAAAAATCACCATGCATGTGGCCCTCTCCAGAGAGACTCTCGCTAAGTAGGTTTTAAGCCCTTTCCTCCTCCAACTGTACTTAGTTAACCTAAATCATAACCCAAAGGCTGGAGAGGTGTAGGTTTTTATAAATCAGCTTTCCCTGCATATGTTCCACCACTACGCACACATGTGCACACACACACGCACATGCATTCACATGCATACACATTCCATCCATGGAGAGGGACTGTCACCTGTACCATCTACACCCTAAATTAGGCTTTTGAGCTGTGACAAGAGCGAGGCAGAGTTGCCACTAAGGCAGTAGCTTCCTCTGACACCCAAATGCGGGCTTACACGCGCTAACTCAGGCAGCTGGATAGGGGCCCAGTGCATCTCCAAAGGCTGACAACTGACACTGTCCTATCTGGCACTAGCACCTCTATGCTCCATACCCTGGGGATGCCCAAACGCCATGCCCTCTTCCATCTGCCACATCCCAGTGGCCTCCAACTGCCTTTGGGACACCATGCCCAGGTGTTGGGACAAAGTTAGTATCAAAGTGTCAAAGTGACAAAAACTCACCCTAGTGCCTCCACAGAGGCTGCAGAGGCTGTCCCCTCAGTTCCCGGCATTCACCATGGTGCCTGGAGAGCTGGCTGCTACTGCTGCACTGAGACCCACACGGCCCCTTGGAGCTTGTCCCCACAACCAGCCAAATCCAGACGGAGTCATAGAAGGAGGCTGCAGGGGTGCCCAGTGACTCGTCTCAGGGGTCACTTGTCAAGGAAGATGAAGTCAGGAGGCAAGACTCAGCCGTGTGCCCAAGTCAGGGCCTGTGGCTGGGAAGTCCCTGTATTGGTGCCTCACCTTAGTCAGCCAGGGGCAGCGCTCAGGAGATGTTCTGTGGAGGCACCAGCAGCTCTGCTAGGTACTGACTGAGATGTGAACTGCAGCTGCTCTGGCGGCCAGTCTCTAAATATAAAGTTCTTGGAGCAACTGTGGAGGCCCCCCTGGGGTCTGGAACAACACGTCCCCCCTCTGGTGGCGAATCTCAGCATTACAACCATACACAGGACCTGCGGCTTGGTCCAAAGTGGGGACGTCAGACTTGGTCTTGGGACTCTAAGCGCCTATTCTAAAGGCCCTGTTCAAACTTTTTGGAAAGCCTCTAGGGGAATGGCAGCTAGAACTGGCTTATGAGCCATGCAAGAAAACCAGCCTTGTAAACTTATTTATAGGACAGAATTGGCATTGCTCAATGCCTTCACCAAACTCAGCCTAGAATTAATTACTTTACATGTTTTCCTGAAGTCACATCCACCCCCAAGAGACACACATTGGCCACACTGGGGGTATTCAGAAGAGTGGCCCATGAGATTCCCAAAGTCAGTCTCAACTCAACTCGGCCATAAAGCTAACATTTATGGGGCATCGGTATTGCACAAGGGCCGAGAGATGCAGGAGCGAGTAAGATGTGCTTGCTATCCTCAAGGGGGCTGTCATCCAGAATGAAGGGTGGGCTCAGGCACAAATAACTAAACCTAGGCGTGACTGGTTACATTTAAAAAAGGAGATCTAACCAAAACCTTAACAGGGTAATTAACCTTCAGATTGGGGTGCAGATGGGGGATATCAGCAGGGAAATTCTGCTGATGAGCCATGGCAGCACGGTCAGTTTATGCGGACAGCCCGCCGAGGACAGAACTCTGAAGGTAACATTCATGAACATGCTCAAGTTCACTGGTTAAAATTCAGCCTGAATACTTGAGGGTGAGACCTTGTACATGAGAAGAGTCTGCCAAAGCTCAGGTCTCCGCACAGTTCAGCCGCCAACACTCAGCTGAGTCAGAAATGTCTTAGTCATTGTCCGGGACTGCGCCTGCTGACCATCCCCGGGAAGCAGCTCCAATATGAGGCTTTGTATTACAAAGGTAAAAAAAAAATAGAAATGATATAATACTGATAATGTCAATAACAGGAGGAGGAGCAGAAAGGAGAAGGGGCGGGAGAAAACATTTTATAGTATATACCATGTGCTAGACAATTCCAAGTGCTTTTCATATATTAACTCATTTAACATTGACAACAACCCTGTGAGGTCGGTATTGTTATTATTCCCACTTTATAGAGATGAAGGAACTAAGTAACTTGTCCAAGGTCAAGCAGACTGTAAGTGTAGAGTACAATAGTGTTTAGTACATGCACGTTGTTGTGCAACCATCACCTCCATCCATCTCCAGAACTTTTCATCTGGCAAAATGGAAACTCTCTACCCATTAAACAGCCCCGTATTCCCCTTCCTCATAGCCCCTATTCTACTTTCTGTCTCTATGAATTAGACTATCTAGGTACCTTGCTATGTCTTTATTTGTGGCCTCCTCTACAAAAAAAATACATACTCTTTATAATTTTTACCTTTAGTATTTTCTTTTTTGATAGTTTTTAACTTACGTCATGTCAAATACAAATATTTCAAAAACAATTTTTTGCGCATTGTTCACAGATCAGTGTGTGTATCTTTTTCTGTTGTTGTTCAGCTTTGTAGGAATATCCTAGTGAAAAGCATATAACCCTCCAAAAGCAGAGTTTGGATTTACTGCTTTTAAAAACTAATTACTTGGGATTTTTTGGATAAATACCTAAGAGTGGGATTGCTGGGTCATAAGTTAGTTCCATTTTCAGATTATTGAGGTACCTCCATACTGATTTCCATAATGGCTGCACCAATCTGCAGTCCCACCACCAGTGCACCAGGGTTCCCTTTTC